TTGATTAGGCAGTTGAAAGTCCTTCTGTATACACGAGGCTATGTGTGACTCACCTGTTTCACCTTCTGGCAAGAATACTGTAATACCTAAAATACTGATTAATGTAAACTGCCAGTGTGTATACACTGAGTAATACACTTCTCGATGTATATACACTGACACACACACACACACACCGGAAATAAGACGCCATCTTCAGCACGTGCACCAGCGCGTGTTGACATAAGTGCCAGATGCCGCCAGGCGCTACGGTACGACTCTCGCTACGTACCACGGTGCACACGGTGCACGGTGCTCAACCACACGGCAGCGTAGGTGTTTTTTCTTGCGCTAAAATCCCGCGGTAAGTCAGCGATGCGCGCCGGAGGCAGCGGAAGGAGCTCGCGGTAGCGTGACGTCACCACGTGCTCGTTGGCCAATCGGAAGCCTGGGCGGTCGCCGCCACGTGCTGCCAGCCAATCGGAAGCCTGGGCGAGCGCAGCAAGTAACCATTGGCGTAGCGAGCGTGACGCTGCGCCGCACACGCGCCGGAAATAACCCCGTGTCCGCTATTACCCCACATCCCGTAACCTGCCCAGTGTGACACAGCAGTAATACACTTTCATGTAAAATTCACTCTCTCTCCTCCACTTCCGATCATAACGTCCATCTTTCAGCCGTCACCGTCGGTTGACTAAGTGCCTATCCCGCCAGTCGCTACGGTACGACTTCGCTACGTACCAGTGTCCTTCTACCGTGCCGGTGCTCAACCACACGTCAACGTGGTGTTTTTTCACTGTGCCAAATCTCTCCCGGTAGTTCAGATGCGCGCCGGCAGCTCCTTAGGTCGTCGTCACTGACCCTATCATGACTCGTTTCAATACTGCAACTTCCCCCTTGCTCTCTGCCACTTCCAGCCAATCGAAGTGGTTAAGCGGTATGCATAGGCCTATCAGCGAGCGATGTAACGCTGCGCTTGAATGATGCCGGAAATTAAGCGTGTCCGTATTACCCCCGGCACCGTCCCCCTAAACACCGCAGGTACTACATTAGTGTAGGTGTAATAGATTCTCTACTCTTCTTTGTTCGTAGTAACCAAAGTCGACTCTTTCCTCGATTCGTACTTATTCTTTGTCAGGTACCGTTTCTCGTCGTATCAAATACTTCTCTCTCCCTTACTCGTACCACACACATGTGTCACCACTCATACCCATCTTAAACACACCACCTCACTTACTCTTTCCTCGTCACTTTCCCCCGAAGAATTTCCAATTAATAATTTTTTACTTTATCATTTATCCCTCGATTTTATCTTAAAACTTCTTTCTACAACTACATTCATATGTCAGTTCATTAGATTTTAACAAAGATAAATTAGATAGGCAATTTCATGACTATTAAGCAGCATTGAAATTGATGACTGTTTATTGTGTATAGCTGTTTAATATATATCAGTAAAGTATAATAAATATATATATATAAATATATATATAATGACAAAAAATATTGAGCAATTATTAATATTGTTAGGTTTGAGATAATAATTATTAAAGACAGGAAAGGATTGTTTACTGGAATTTCTTTGCTTATTGTTTTTATAAGTAGAACGTCGTAGCACGTACTAGCAAGTAGCTTCACATCACAACACACACATCACTAGTCTGACTCGTGAGTGTTCGCCACAGTCGAGGAATATATTTATCAATGATTTATTAAATTTATAATGTGTATATTACATATTGCTGGATGTTTTACATAAAAACATTAAGTATAAAATAAACTTTATAGGTTTGGAAAATATATTTTTACAAAATGTAAATTTATCATGGAAATTGTGTCACGTGTTTCATAGTGTGATTATATTTTATTATGATATATATATATATTTTTAGTATATTATATTTTATTTGTGTTTATGTATATATTTGTATATTGACATAAAAATTTGTGCAATTTTAATAATAATTATTATTTGGATTAAATTATTGTTATGTAATATCAGGTTGAAGGGTATGGAGGTAATATTTGAATGTTTGCTTATTAGTGTTTTGTTGTAAGTTAAGAAAGTGTATGTGTTGTGTGTGTGTGTGTTGTGTGTGTGTGTGGTGTGTGTGTGTGTGTGTGTGTGTGTGTGTGTGTGTGTGTGTGTGTGTGTGTGTGGTGTTAATTAGTTAGCATTGCGTGTGTATTTCAGCACCCAGGCGTTGGGTAAATCAGGTACAGTTGAGAGTCATATGTGTTACACAGGTCAAGAATAGGTACAGTAGAGAGTCCTGGATGTTACACAAGTACAATAGAGTGTCCTGGGTACTACAGAGGTCAATGTTCATACATTATAACCCTGACTAAGAATATTTAACATCCACCTTTTAAGTGGTACACTTAGTTTTACATCTTCTTAACCAATTGTTGGTCCATATATCCCGCGGATCACTGGTCCACACAACCCACAAGTTGCTTAAACCAGACACATGCGCAACACTTGTGTATTTGTAGTGTGGAGACGTGTCGCCATACAGGGTTCGCAGTCACATCAAAGAAAATGGGAAATAAAGGAGTTTGAGGTAATCAGTCCCTCAATCTTTTAAATTGTGGACGATACCTGCCTCCAGTTAAGGACTGATTAATCTCTTTTTATCTTCATTATTTCCTATTGCTTGTAGCGATGGCATGGGCGAAACATTTGTCTGAGGTATCAGCATATTCTTGTTCTACCTTGTCCACTTGTACGGGAAATAGTTTTTTGTAACATTCGTCAGTCTCCAGAATCATTACGTCTTAAAACGAAGTTCATTAATTCGTTGTTTGCGTTGGTTGTTCGAAAAGCGCTTCGTTAGTCCGTCAGCTGGTTATAATTAATCACAGCCCGCAGCTGAACATTAATTTGAGCGAGTATGGTTTTATGGTGGGACAGGGAGTGATGTGGAGTGTTGGTAGCAGCATCACTGATGTGGGATGTTGGTAGCAGCATCACTGATGTGGGATGTTGGTAGCAGCATCACTGATGTGGGATGTTGGTAGCAGCATCACTGATGTGGGGTGTTGGTAGCAGCATCACTGATGTGGGATGTTGGTAGCAGCATCACTGATGTGGGTGTTGGTAGCAGCATCACTGATGTGGGATGTTGGTAGCAGCATCACTGATGTGGAGTGTTGGTAGCAGCATCACTGATGTGGGATGTTGGTAGCAGCATCACTGATGTGGGATGTTGGTAGCAGCATCACTGATGTGGAGTGTTGGTAGCAGCATCACTGATGTGGGGTGTTGGTAGCAGCATCACTGATGTGGAGTGTTGGTAGCAGCATCACTGATGTGGGATGTTGGTAGCAGCATCACTGATGTGGGGTGTTGGTAGCAGCATCACTGATGTGGGATGTTGGTAGCAGCATCACTGATGTGGAGTGTTGGTAGCAGCATCACTGATGTGGGATGTTGGTAGCAGCATCACTGATGTGGGATGTTGGTAGCAGCATCACTGATGTGGGGTGTTGGTAGCAGCATCACTGATGTCTCTGGCTGTAACCTCACTACCACTGATGTCTCTGGTTGTAACCTCACTACCACTGATGTCTCTGGTTGTAACCGGACTGGACTGATTACATCGCCTTCACATCTCTACTATGATTCTACTCAAGAAGCCTGCTGTGTAGGCGAAACGTTTCGGAATAAAGATACGTAATTATTTGACATGTGTCTTATCAACGTGTGGGTGTGGTACACCACTGTGATATTCACTCGCACATGCTGCTTCTCACAGGTCAGATATTGTCCACTCTAAACAACCCTTTAAATAAATGGATGGTTCTCCGTCACCACTATCATTGGTGTCACTACATTTTTGTTTCACTGTATCACAGGTCAGCTGTCACCAACACCAGGGCCTGGTCACCAATCACCAGGGTCTGGTCACCAATACCAGGGCCTGGTCACCAACACCAGGGCCTGGTCACCAACACCAGGGCCTGGTCACCAATCACCAGGGCCTGGTCACCAAACCCAGGGCCTGGTCACCAAACCAGGGCCTGGTCACCAACACCAGGGCCTGGTCACCAACACCAGGGCCTGGTCACCAACACCAGGGCCTGGTCACCAACACCAGGGCCTGGTCACCAATACCAGGGCCTGGTCACCAACACCAGGGCCTGGTCACCAATACCAGGGTCTGGTCACCAACACCAGGGCCTGGTCACCAACACCAGGGTCTGGTCACCAACACCAGGGTCTGGTCACCAACACCAGGGCCTGGTCACCAACACCAGGGTCTGGTCACCAACACCAGGGTCTGGTCACCAACACCAGGGTCTGGTCACCAACACCAGGGCCAGGTCACCATCACCAGAGTCTGGTCACCAAGCCTCCACATCCTGAGGTCCTGGTCACCAACACCAGGGTCTGGTCCAACCCAGGTCTGGTCCACCAAACACCATGCCAGGTCACCATCACAGAGTCTGTCACCATGGCCTTCCACTTCTTCCTAAAGAGAGGTCGAAGAGGCATGTGTATTGTGTTGTCGTCTCTCATGTTGGTACGTGGCAAAAGATGCCATCATCAACACAGTCATTCGCCAACTTCTTGCCACCTTGTTTCCATGTGCCTCTCTTCTGCAACGGCGGCATTAATGGCCGGAGAAGGCGGCGGTGGCGGTGTATTCTGATAGCGCTGCCGGCTGGGAATCCGTGACCTGTGCGAGGTGACGGTGGCGAACTGTGCTCATGTATATAAGTCTGACAAGTTAGGTGTTGAGTAATGGGTGACTGCTGGAAGCGCTTGCTGGGTGTGGTGTCCAGGTGGTGTTGTCCGGTGTCAGTGGAGTGTACGCAGCAACACACTGCTGTCGTACTTGGTGTTGTTGGTAGCCGGTAACCGCTGGGTGTGTGTCCGTTGCAACATGGGAGTAGGAGGTGTGGAGGAATCTTGCTTTGTTTAAGGCTTGGGACTAGTCTGAGGTTAGTAAATGGTGGTCGTGCGGAGCTGCTACTCGCTGGGTGATGTGTCACTGAAGTGTATGGAGCAAAAATGGCTACGTGAACTGTTTATCAGGAAGTGTAGGGCAGGGCAAGAATGTTTGTCCTCTGTCGCTTGCAGTGGTTGTCTGTGTTGAGATGGCGTTGATATACAGGGTGTTTCCCCTGGTTGGTGGGGTAGGAGGTGTGGGAGGCAGTCTGTGAAGATTCTGTTTACTTGCTGACTTCTCTGCAGGTTTATTAAATGATGTCACCTTCACGGAAGGTATTAGTGGCGTCACTGATGTCACAGGTGATGACGCAGAAATACTGGACTCTGAACAGTTAACCTCAGAGTTTGCTGTCAGTTTTCCAGGTGCAGTAGTAAATGTTTGCTCTTCCATGAGAGGATTTTCTGTACAACTGGGTTTTGATATATCGTTCATATTTTCACACTTGCTTTTCTCGGTTTTTACCTTCCCGGGTTCTAATTTCGCAGGTGTAGCTGTGGCACTCGACACCTGTACAGTGTTAGATACGACGGTGCCTGCTGTAGTTGCTGCAGGAGGGTGCTGCACCTCGGCCTTAACATTTCTTATACCGATTTTTGACACATTCTGAGAATCAAGGTTTTTAATGTCTTCAGCAGTACGCAGGAGCACCGATGGATCCAGGGGGCCCTGGATCACGAAAGCCAGGCCCCCACCGGGAAGACGAGTAGGTACCAGCGTAATGCCAGTTACTGGAGAACTCGAAGCTTCACCTTTGAAGGAGCTAGTAACAGTTTTGCTAGGAGCAGTTGCGTGAGCTGGAGGTTGTCCTTGTGTACTGATTTTTGAGGTGGATGTACTAGCGTACTCCGTGTCCCCAGATGAGGTGGAGTTCTTGCCCTCCATCATCATCAGAAAGTTGTGTAGGTGTTGGAGCAACCGCGGCCGGATGTTGTCCTGTTGGTTCTCCAGATATTGCTTCATGGCACTGTCTATGGCACTCATGCACCTTTTGAATCCCAGCCTGTAGTTTTCGTCCTTGCCCGTAGGACACATCGTAGGAGCTGTGCCTTGGGCAACCACTGCAGATACCTTGTCTTCTGAAGCTTGGAGTGTCATGGCATTAGTTACTGGAGATGAGGTGGATCTCTGTGCAACAATGCCTTGTGCATTAGCGTCGTCTTGCGCAGTGCCATCTCCTTGTTGCACTTTGGCACCCTGTGGAATGGTGTCTTCCCCTGAAACAGGACCTCTTTGTGTACTGTTGTTCCCCTGTGGAACACTTCCCAGTGGGCTTGTACCTCCCTGTGGAACATCGTATTCCTGCACAGCGGGTCTGCCCTGGGGAATTACCCCTTCAGCAGAACTACCCTTCAGGGCCTCCTCATGACTCTTCGAGGTAGGGGAAGTAGGGTCAGTGCCCTGCCAGGCCCCACCGGCGCGGCCCTTGAGACTCAGCATGTGTTTGACGGTGAGTTCGAGGATGTCAGCCTTCTCCAGCTTGGTGGGTCGTCCAGCCTCGCTCTTCACCAGCCGCGCCTCCGTCAGTAGCGTCGCTAGGTCGTTCAGACTTGTGTTGATCCTCTCACGACGCTTCCGTTCCATCAGCGGCTTGCGGATCTGTGAACAAGATGAACATGTGAGTGAAAGTGAAGAACATGATGAACAGGTGAGTGAAGGTGGAGAACAGGATGAACAGGTGAGTGAAGGTGGAGAACATGATGAACAGGTGAGTGAAGATGAAGAACATGATGAACAGGTGAGTGAAGATGAAGAACATGATGGACAGGTGAGTGAAGGTGGAGAACATGATGAACAGGTGAGTGAAGGTGGAGACCATGGTGAACAGGTGAGTGAAGGTGGAGAACATGATGAACAGGTGAGTGAAAGTGGAGAACATGATGAACAGGTGAGTGAAGGTGGAGAACATGATAAACAGGTGAGTAGAAGGTGGAGAACATGATAAACAGGTGAGATGAAGGTGGAGAACATGATAAACAGGTGAGAGAAGGTGGAGAACATGATAAACAGGTGAGAGAAGGTGGAGAACATGATGAACAGGTGAGAGAAGGTGGAGAACATGATGAACAGGTGAGAGAAGGTGGAGAACATGATAAACAGGTGAGAGAAGGTGGAGAACCATGATAAACAGGTGAGAGAAGGTGGAGAACATGATGAACAGGTGAGAGAAGGTGGAGAACATGATGAACAGGTGAGAGAAGGTGGAGAACATGATGAACAGGTGAGAGAAGGTGGAGAACATGATGAACAGGTGAGAGAAGGTGGAGAACATGATAAACAGGTGAGAGAAGGTGGAGAACATGATAAACAGGTGAGTGAAGGTGGAGACCATGGTGAACAGGTGAGTGAAGGTGGAGACCATGGTGAACAGGTGAGTGAAGGTGGAGAACATGGTGAACAGGTGAGTGAAGGTGGAGAACATGGTGAACAGGTGAGTGAAGGTGGAGACATAGTGAACAGGTGAGTGAAGGTGGAGACCATGGTGAACAGGTGAGTGAAGGTGGAGACCATGGTGAACAGGTGAGTGAAGGTGGAGACCATGGTGAACAGGTGAGTGAAGGTGGAGAACATGGTGAACAGGTGAGTGAAGGTGGAGACCATAGTGAACAGGTGAGTGAAGGTGGAGACCATAGTGAACAGGTGAGTGAAGGTGGAGACCATGGTGAACAGGTGAGTGAAGGTGGAGACCATGGTGAACAGGTGAGTGAAGGTGGAGACCATGGTGAACAGGTGAGTGAAGGTGGAGACATGGTGAACAGTGAGTGAAGGTGGAGACCATAGTGAACAGGTGAGTGAAGGTGGAGACCATGTGAACAGGTGAGTGAAAGGTGGAGACATGGTGAACAGGTGAGTGAAGGTGGAGAACATGGTGAACAGTGAGTGAAGTGGAGACCATGGTGAACAGGTGAGTGAAGGTGAGAGACACATGTGAATCAGGTGATGAAGGTGGAGAACATGGAACAGTGTGAGTGAAGGTGGAGACCATGGTGAACAGGTGAGTGAAGGTGGAGACCATGAGAACAGGTGAAGAAGGTGGAGACCATAAGTGAACAGGTGAGTGAGGTGGAGACCATGGTGAACAGTGAGAAGGTGGAGAACAGGTGAACGGTGAGAGAAGGTGGAGACCAGGAACAGGTGAGTGAAGGTGGAGACCATGGTGAACAGGTGAGTGAAGGTGGAGACCATGGTGAACAGTGAGAGAAGGTGGAGACCATGGGTGAACAGGGTAAGACGGCAGGCGATCAAGACGGTATAACATCAAGTCGGTGTACGGTAGACAGGTAAGGTAGACAGTGAAGTAGACAGTAAGGTAGAAGTGAAGTAGAATTGATGTAGAATCACGGTAAAATAGACAGGTGAATAGACAGGTAAATAGCAGGTAAGGTAACACAAATCTTGGTATCTGAGGAGATAACTCGACAAATTCCTTAAGTCAGTTCTGATCAGCCAGGCTGTGGTGCAACACACACAAAGATATAATAATAACAATAATGAATAATTTTATTATTATTCATGGGCAGGCACTAATCTCGAAGAGGCATACAGGGCTGGAAAATGGGCGGCAATCAGCTTTGTTGAAGAAGGGAAGGGTAGCTCAGTTCCTTGGAACAGGATCCTGCTCCAAGCACCGAGGCGCCACTTGACCGGAATATCAACGTATACACTGCTGGGGGGAATCAACGGACAGTGTTGGGGAATCAACGGTTAACATGTTGGGGGAATCAACGGTAACATTGTTGGGGAATCAGCATAGCAATGTTGGGGGAGCCCGACGGGACACGTTGAGGGAATCAACGGCGACACTTTTGGGGGAATCACGGTAACTGTTGGGGAATACCACGGGACTGTGAGAATCACGGTAACACTGTATGGAATCGACGTAACAATGTTGGAAAATGAATCACGGAACACTAGCTCAAGTGGTAGCTGGTCCAGCACACATCCAGGACCTGGGTTCGATCCCGGCAAGGGTATAAACGTGGGCGTGTGTTCCTTACACATGCTGTCCATGCTCACCTGCATTAAGTAGGGTACCTGGATATTAGTCACCTAGACCTGGCAGTGTAGGTGACTACCCGTACCTACTTCTGCAGGTAACATGGACGCAGGTGCAAAAATCAACCCAATGTCCACCCGTACCGACATGAACCACGACACCAGTGTTTGAGCGGAAGGTTACCTACCAGTCACGGTCCATTATAGTACCTTCCCCCTCCCCACATAATTATAAGAAGACACTCACTTTCCTGGTTTCGCTGGGTGGGCGTGGCACCTTAGGCCGGATGTTGTCGCCGGCTTGAAGGGCCATGGTGGCAGGAGCGGCAGCGAGGTGTACACCCTCCACTCTCAGACACTGCTCTGAGCCTCATCTCTCCCTCAAACCCTCCCACAACAAACACCACGTTGCCACCTACTCTTTCTCCCCATTATAGTACCTTTAAATTTTCTGATTATGGATTATATAGGGTCTGGGGAATGGGAGGCACTCAGGGTTGATTTGAGGAAGGGAAGGATGTCTTGGTTAATTAGATCAAGAGCCCCCCCTCACTGGCATCAAGGAACCCAATGGAAATCAGTCAAGGGTCCAGTGGAAGTCACTGATTTTTTTGGGCTATCCTGGTGGATAATTTACACTATGTATAAATGCACCTATATGTACCTGTGTCTAAATAACGTTACTTAACAGGAATAGGTTTTAAAAAAAAGTAACACCGTCCGTCTCCCACTGAGGCTGAGGGATTCGAAAAAGAGAAAACATATTCACCATCATTCATTCAGTTACTGTCTTGTCAGGAGAGCGCTGACATCACAGTTCAGATGACCGTCTGAACTGCAACATCCTCTCCCCTAAACAATACTCTTCTCCAGACTGAGGGACTGACCACCTCAAAACTTCAGGGGTGATGGACTGATTACATCGTCTTCAAGTATCTCCTGCTTCTATCAACTTTTCTGTACTCGACTGAAGAAGCCTGCTGTGTAGGCGAAACGTTTCGAAATAAAGATACCTAATTGTGTCTTACCTAACAACCTGTCGGTATTTTATACCATTTTAATGTTCATCCTCTCCCCTCCTTGAGAGTACAGGCACTTGTAATTCCCACCTCCAGGACTCAAGTCTGGCTAACAGGTTTCCCCGAATCCCTTCATAAATAATACCTTGCTCACATTCCAACAGCACGTCAAGTCATAAAAACCACTGGTCTCCATTCACTATGATTTAACACGAACACACACAAGCCTGCTAGATACTCAAGCCCCTAGCATTCAAAACCTTCTTCATTCACTACCTCCAACCCTTCCTAGGATGACCCCTACCACTGTTGGTCATCCTATTCTGCTCCATCCTCTCTAAATGCCCAAACCACCTCAACTCGTCGTCCCTCTGGGTCTTCAGTTCGCTGCAACGTTTAAAGACCATACTTAACACTCATGTAGGAGTGTCGCTACCACTATTCTCTGGTGCATTTTCCCATTCGTCTTCATAGATAAATTTCTTTCCACGGATTAAGTAAATTTATTTAGACCCACGTACACATATGTACAATTATCATGTATGTAAACATCTCAGGAAAACCCCCCCTAATGGGTTTGAACCCCGGGGGGTTGAAAAAAGGGGGTTTTTCACGGTTTTTCCCGGGGCCCTATCGAAAAAATAGGCCCCGGGGTTATGACTTTTGTGTCCATTGGGAAAAAGTAATATGAAAAAATTTGGTAAACGGCCCTTCCATGAGGCTAGGATTCGAAAAAGTGAATATTTAAAAAAAGATTCTTTTTTTTTTTAAAGTTTATATTATTAATTAATTAATTTAAATTTTTTTAAAAATTTTTTTTAATTTAAACGGCCACCCAAAACCAGGGGGGAAAAAAATTTCCTTCATTATCTCCTCCTTCTTCAAATCTTTACACTAAGTTTTGCGGGAAAAACCCCTTTCAATAAAACCATGTTTCTTTCCAACCAAGTCCGGTCGTTTTAATCCTTTAAATGTTACTACTCCCAAGTCCAGGCACTTAATTTCCCAAAGCTCCAATTCCTCTAACACCCCCAATCCTTTCTAAATAAACCTTGCCAAAACCACCACCCCCCTCCAACCCCGGCCCCCTCCCCCTTTTCAACACAACAACACTCTTGAATCACTTTCCCCTTCTCTCTACATAACCACCCAAACCCTTCCTAACCCTCCCAACTTTTTGGTACCCCACCTTCCTATCCAACTAAATCCTAATTTTCCACCACACATTGCCCTCGCTTAATTCCCCCTTAAGCCTCTCCTTCATGAAATTCTACCCCCTTTTCCATTAACTTTTTTCATAATTAAAAATTCTTTCGGTAAGTAAATTTTTGCTCCACAACTCTAAGTCAATTACTTTTTTAACCCCATAACCCTTATTCCCCTAAAAAACTTTGGGCTGGTCCTTCAAAAACCGGATGTCATCCCTCACCTCCCCCAAAATGGACCTTTTTCCCTTACCTTGACCCAAACCTATTTTCCGATTACCTTAATTTTTTTTGGACCCCCCTAAAAATTTCCATCTTAAATTTTTCAATCTCAAGAAAGTTTAGAAGAAATTGAATTATTTTTTTTTTTAAAATTATTATTATTATTATTATTATTATTATTTTTTATTATTACTTATCGTTCCCCCCTGTGTTGTTCTAACGGTTGATGTTGTGATAATGTTGGTAGAATACTGACAGTATGTTAGGTAATAGAACACCTGTGCAACTAGTACTGTTTGTACTAGCTGCACAGGTGTTCTACTCCTGGAGAGCGAAACGTTGCCACAGTAAAAAGCCCGCTTTATTTTGAGCTTGTGTTCTTTTTAGCCGACGTGTTTCACCTTGTCCTCAACAGACTCGTACTGTTAACACTGGTATACAGTAGAGACAAGTTGATGATTAAGACACATGTGCAACAGTTAGGTATCTTGATTGATGAAACGTTTCGCCCACACACTAATAGGCTTCTTCAGTCAGATACAGAGGCAACAGTAGTAGTGAAATGAAGATGATGTAATCAGTCTATCAAGCTTGGAGAAAAAGTATTTGAGGTGGTCAGTCCCTCAGCCTGTCTCTTATACACAGGAACTACGTAGGTGCTGCGAGTACTTAGGTACCTCTATTTCTTTCATGAATATATGAAAAAAAATTCATATTTAAAAATTAAAAATGTTACCGTTTTTTGTATTGTGAATGAAATACATAACGTCACATAGCATAACATAACGTCACATAGCATAACATAACGTCACATAGCATAACATAACGTCACATAGCATAACACAACGTCACATAGCATAACATAACGTCATATAGCATAACATAACGTCATATAGCATAACATAACGTCATATAGCATAACATCACATAGCATAACATAACGTCACATAGCATAACATAACGTCACATAGCATAACATAACGTCACATAGCATAACAAAAACGTCATATAGCATAACATAACGTCATATACATAAAAATAAACGTCATATAGCATAACATCACATAGCATAACATAACGTCATATAGCATAACATAACGTCACATAGCATAACATAACGTCACATAGCATAACATAACGTCACATAGCATAACATAACGTCACATAGCATAACATAACGTCACATAGCATAACATAACTTCCCCATAGCTAACATAACGTCATATAGCATAACGTAACATCACATAGCATAACATAACGTCACATAGCATAACATAACGTCACATAGCATAACATAACGTCATATAGCATAACATAACGTCATATAGCATAACATAACGTCATATAAACATAACATAAAAGTCATATAGCATACATAACGTCAAAATAGCATAACATAACGTCCCCATAGCATAACATAACGTCATATAGCCTAACAAAAACGTCCATAGCATAACAAAAACGTCACATAGCATAACATAACGTCATATAGCATAAACAAAACGTCATATAGCATAACATAACGTCACATAGCATAACATACGTCAACATACATAACATTTAAAGTCACATAGCATAACATAACGTCATATAGCATAACATAACGTCATATAGCATAACATAACGTCATATAGCATAACATAACGTCACATAGCATAACATAACGTCACATAGCATAACATAACGTCACATAGCATAACATAACGTCACATAGCATAACATAACGTCATATAGCATAACATAACGTCATATAGCATAACATAACGTCACATAGCATAACATAACGTCCCTATAGCATAACATAACGTCATATAGCATAACATAACGTCATATAGCATAACATAACGTCACATGGCATAACATAACGTCATATAGCATAACATAACGTCACATAGCATAACATAACGTCACAGCGTAACAACGTCACAGCATAACAACGTCATATAGCATAACATAACGTCACATAGCATAACAACGTCACATAGCATAACATAACGTCATATAGCATAACATAACGTCATATAGCATAACATAACGTCACATAGCATAACAACGTCACATAGCATAACAAACGTCATATAGCATAACATAAACGTCATATAGCATAACATAACGTCATATAGCATAAACATAACTTCAATAGCAAACAAACGCACATGGGATAACAACGTCACATGGCATAACAACGTCACATAGCGTAACAACGTCACAGCATAACGTCACATAGCATAACATAACGTCACATAGCACAACAACGTCACATAGCATAACATAACGTCACATAGTATAACATAACGTAACATACCATCACATGTAATATAATGTCACATAGAACATTACGTAGCAGCATAGCGTAACATAGCATCACATAGCATAACAATGTCATAACATAACGTCACATAGCAAACCATAACGTCTCATAACATAATAACGTTACATAGCATAACAACGTCATATAGCATAACATAACGTCACAGCATAACGTCACATAGCATAACATAACGTCATATAGCATAACATAACGTCATATAGCATAACAACGTCACATAGCATAACATAACGCACATAGCATAACATAACGTCATATAGCATAACAACGTCACATAGCATAACATAACGTCACATAGCATAACACAACGTCACATAACATAACGTCACATAACATAACGTCACATAGCATAACATAACGTCACATAGCATAACATAACGTCATATAGCATAACATAACGTCATATAGCATAACATAACGTCACATAGCATAACATAACGTCACATAGCATAACATAACGTCATATAGCATAACATAACGTCACATAGCATAACATAACGTCACATAGCATAACATAACGTCATATAGCATAACATAACGTCACATAGCATAACATAACGTCACATAGCATAACACAACGTCAC